TTATAATATGATTTTATTGGTTAATCACGATCACGAGAAAATTGAAACATTTCACATGATTGGCGATTATAGATTTCCGGAACCATATACAGTAATATTAGGAATATATAATAGCTTTTTCTAAAAAAATTTAAAATAAGCTTCCCTTATCCTTTAATTTAATATTTTCTTCTAAAGTTATATTATAAAGGTTTTTATAATAATCAACCCCATCTCCCGACAATGATGCAATTTCATTGTCTAAGAGAATAATTTTTTGTTCTTTTTCATCATTGTCTAATTGCATTGCATCATAATCTATTTTCATTTCAGCCAACTTAACTTCTAGTTTAGAAATCTCACGTTTGTTAACGAGGATATCTCTTTTGAGTTGTTTATTTTCTATTTCCAATCTATAAATTAAAAAAATATTATTAACAAATTAAAATCAAATGTTATACTGTATATGTCGTGCATCAGATTAAAATTTAAATGCGGAGTTTTTTAGGGTAAGGGTGGGTGTCTATGTTGGGCATTAGCGGATTATAATGATTTTAATTTTGACGCACAACATATATAAAATATTACCTTCTAACTTTTTTATCATATTTAATTTTTTCATCGTTAAATCTTTGTTCTAAACTTCCTTTACTCGTTAATACGTCACGTTCAGATGACTCCTTGATAACACTCTTCCAAAGTTTAAATTGTTTAATTTCATCATCAAAAAAAGCATTATCTTTTCCCGGAAATCGTACTTTACACCACTCAATATATGCGATACGTTGATTAAACTCATTTATCCAATAGACCTTGCCTATTCTATTATTTCTATTTCCACTTCTCGTTTCCATAGGAGTATTATGTTTCGTGGTGGTCTTATTAGTTTTCGCAGAGGTTTTCTTTCTTCTGGGAGGCATTTTTTTTTTAAAGTAAAAAAAAACCGCTCAGATTTCATTTATTTATAATTATTTTAAATACTATCATCACAGCAGTTTAAATAATATAAATTATTTAATTTAATGATGTGATATTCACTGAATATCGGGACGAGCTCTTTCATTATAACCAAGAATTCTGCCACTAGTCGAGAATCTGATCACTCCACTTGAGCTCATCCGAACCTTAAACAAAAAAGTACAAAAGTGAATATCTGTAATATAAAAAAAAAATATATGAAAAATAAAATAATAATAACTTCCCTCGAATAATGTATAAAAAAGTAAAAGTTTCTTAGAAAAACTAGATCTCTCAATTATCTACGCTTAAATACGTATTGTTTGAATTACAGTATATATATAAAAAATTACAAATTCTATGTAATGAATATATATTAAATGTTTTGGTTTCTTTTACTGTGTATGATCTACTCGGAAATTGATTTTTCCAAAGTACGGCAAAATTTTCCCATAGTACGAGATTTGATAAGTAAATTTCTTTGTAGTAAGAGCAGTGAAACAAACATAGATAACCATTTCTTGTTTGAATGACTAATCTGGTATGAATATGCATGCTTTCTAATGTATTGAAACAATCATGAACGCAAAATTTTTTGAATGTGCATAACATTCATAAGACGACTTTCATATGATTAGTTGTTTAAGTCAATTTAATTTTACATTATTTATACAGTTTAAAGTACTTTTTCAGAAAAATAACACTACAAAGAATAAATAAAAAAAAAAGTACATAGGAGGTATTATTAGATTTGTAGGACGCCACTATTGAAAATGATCAAAATCACCTTCTGTTTTAGTGAGGTTAGTACAGTCGCACCTCCCTAAGTGCATGCTCTGTGGACCAGGCATAAATTTGCATTTAGAGGGGGTATGCATTTATAGAAAACTTCTCTAAATGCATGCACTAGAAAATTAGACATAAGTTTGCACTTAGAGAATATAAATATATATATTCCATAATCTTTAGGTGTGAATAACTTTTGATCCACTGGTCCGTTCTGGATGAAACACTCACCAAAATGTTCGCCTCGATGAGATGATTTCAACGAGCCCAAAATCGCTAAAATCCAATCACAGGATCCCGAGATCGTTAAGGGTTTGTGTTACTTCGTATGTATTTTAAAATTAGATAAATCAATTTTAAAATACATACAATATAATACAAAACCTTAACGATCTCGGGGTCTGTGATTGGATTTTATCGATTTTGGGCTCGTTGGAATCGTCTCATCAAGGCGAACATTTTGGCGAGTGTTTCATCCAGAACGGACCACTGGATCAAAAGTTATTTACTGACAAAGATTTTAAAATTTTTATTATTATAGTAATTTCAAATCTGCGCGGAAATGATTTTTATTGATTAAAATTATATAAGCTTATGCATTTATAGAAATATATATATATACTTGGGACCCTAAACTTTTATGCATATGCAGAATATAAAAAATTCTTAAGTTCCAAGCTTGGGACCAGGCCATAATATGCATTTAGAGAAGGTGTGTGCACTTAGAGGGTGCGACTGTATTATAACTTTTTAAAATAGATCGAACAAGATTATTTATTACCGTGGAGTCCTACAAATCTAATAATACCTCCTATGTACTTTATTCATTGTAGTGTTATTTTCTTGAAAAAATACTTTAAACTATATAAATAATGTAAAATGAAAATTGACTTAAACGACCAATCATATGAAAGTCGTCCTATGAATGTTATGCACATTCAAACCAGATTAGTCATTCAAATCTCACTTATTTGTGTTTATAATTGTTTCAATACATTAGAAAGGGAAGTTATTATTATTTTATTTTTCATATATTTTTTTTTTA